TTTCATATTCAAACTCTATCGAACACTCCATAATAATTAATAATATGACAAATCATAAATACGATGTTATTATGTAAAAATTCATAATATGTAAATTCAAAAAATGAGAATTTAATTAATCACAATATGAAATATTTGTTGCCCTATGTATATGTTACTGAACAATAATATTACAATAAAATTTGAAACAAATATAATAATGATAAAATATGTCATCATAATCATTATTCACTCAGCTCTGGAAAAAAACGAAATCACTTCTAGTATCTATCTAATCTGAGCACCAAAAAAATATTTTGACAATGCCTTAAAATTATTCAGGATAAACTAACAATAAGAAGTGAGGAGATTAGATAAAATTCCTGAATTTATAATCAAAGCTCGGGAAAACACCTACCCAAAACAAATATATGCAAAAATGTGACAAACACGTACAAGAAGCCCTCATCAAATCAGATTTTCTTACTAAAAAGATTGGTTAAACGCAAGATGTATGAGGCTACATGCGGGCCTCCCACATCAGCCCTAGGTTATTACAATTGGAGAAATATTATACTTACTACCTATTTTTCTTATTACTTGTTACTACCAAATCTTAATCGTTGATTTCTGTCAATCTAACGGTTGTAATTTATGGAATCATACTTATTAATTAATTATTAATTTGCAATAAATTATAACCGTTAGATTGACGAAAATCAACGGTTAAGATTTAGTAGTAATAAGTAGTAAGAAAAATAAGTAGTAAGTATAACCTCACCCTTACAATTGATGTGATTGTATATCTGATTAATAGAAGTCCATCTAGTGCACTACACGGAGGAATACCATAACAGAAGTGGTCAGTTAAAGAAGTATATTACTCTTATTAAATAGTTTTCGGTTGTATTGCATATGCTCTTAGGGTTTTATAATTCTCATTTAATATGAGAATTCAAATTTTCCTATACACCCTTCGATTTTCGTGCTGACATAAATTCTACATATAATTTTTTCTAACACATGGGTCCCACATATTTTTTATCTCTACAACATGATAATTGAATTCTCATTTAACACGAGAAAATCAAACCCCATGCTCTTATTGACAAGGAGGATAAGAAAAGCTTGATGATAGGTCCCAGCATCTTTATCGAATAGACGAATACGATGATGATGAGTATGGCAATAAACTTTGGGAAATTAGATGTGAAAATTACTTTGTTGCATGATTGAAATTTGTTGAGTATAGCATATTATGTACCAATGCCCATTGCATTCCTTTTTTGTATTGCTTTATGAGCATAAGTATAGCATATTCTGTATCGATGCCCATTGCATTCCTTTTTTGTATTGCTTTATGCGCATAAATGTAGCATATTCTGTATAAAATGCCCATTGCATTCCTTTTTAGTATTTTTTATGCTTCTTTGTCGTTTAGCACTTTTTATCGTTGCCTTTATTTGTGTACCTAGTATTCACCTTTTTTTTGTATGAATTAGACTGGTTGTCAAGGTCTAGATAAGGATTCATAGGTTGAGTTGTCAATTCCTATCTAGTCTACAAAAGCGTTGTACCGTGCCCTCTTTTCGAAAGTAGATCTAAAGTATCTCTGCTTTCTTTCCTTTTTCTCTCTTTACGATCTATTAATCTCATGTTGCATGAGATAATGCAACAGAAATAAAATTGATGGGTCCACTACTTTTCAAAAAATAAAATAAAAAATAAAATAATGGACTCCACTATTTTGTATCTATTGCATGAGATAATTATCTCATGCAATATGAGATAATTATTTTCTTTTATTTTTTTCTGATGTATTCTCTAAGGTTTTAATAGCTATCATGTGCGGATCAAAAAATTTGCAGCAACACTTACTTCCATTAGAATCTGATTCCGTATCTAGAAATTTTTTTTTTTTTAATTTCAGGATCCAACTCCGTATCTTATGTAAATATATTTGCTGCAAATTTTTTCATCAGCACTGAGAGCAGAAATGAGGAACCTATTCTCTAAATCATAAACATTGTAAAACAAGTTGTGACTACTTTAGCAAATCATTTCAAACTTTCAAAGCACATGCGTCCAAGCACTCGAGCCCAAATGGATAAGATGGCAATGGTTTTGTGTGCATCAACAGTTGGAAGTTTGACATATGCTATGGTGAGCCTAAGGCCTGATATTACACAGCCGATTGGAGTTATCAATGCCTAAATGCAAAATCCAAGCAAGGAGAATTGGAGAACAATAAAGTGGATTCTAAGATATCTAGAAGGGACATCCACTTATTCCTTTGTTATAAGGGAAATTCTCTAGAGATACAAGAATATGTGGATGCAGATTATTCAGGTGATCGAGATAATGGTAGGAGCACCACAAAATGTCTTTACAATGGGATGTACAACAATGAGTTGGATCTCTCAACTACAGAAAATAGTGGTAATGTCGACAACAGAAGATGGTAGGTGGAGATCACAATTGCCTCTAAGGCAATCATGTGGTTATAATGTTACATGGAGGAATCATGTCGAAATCCACCTATTGGTACGCTACGGAGTGATAATCAAAATGCAATGCATTTGGCAAAGAATGCTACCTATCATTCAAGAACAAGACACATCAAAAGACATTATCATTTCATCACATCGACATTAACAGTAATGAATTAAAGCTAGAAAAGTTCGACGGTTCAAAGAATCCAACAAACATGATCACCAAGGTGGTTGATAGAGAAAATCATTCTTTGTAGACTACTATCATTGGGATTACTTCAAGACATTGATGAGTAGTATCACTAAAACACAAGATTGTGAATCCTAAGGATCATGTTGTATGGTTAAATATTATCTTCAAGTGGAAGATTGTTAGGTGCGAACACAATTCAGCCACCATTTTGAAAAATATGTTTGTCCCTTTCCCGTTACTTTATTTTTCCTATATATCGATACTATGGTTTGTCAAATGAAAATGCAAGAGAGATAAAGAATTTAAAAGAGCATGTTAGAGAAAGAACAGAGAGAGAGAAAAAAAGGTCAGGGTCCCTCAAATAGTTCACTCGAAAGCAGTTTACCGATCGGCAATTCGAGCTTATCGCTCGGCACTCTGATATTTTAACCGACCAGGCGATCAGCCTACACAACACAACCGGGGTCGGCCAACACAACACAATGCAACACAAGAAAAACGGTTTGAAGTCATGAGCTTACTGGTTATGTTGTGTAAGCTGACCAATTAAGACATAAGAGTGCCGAGTGGTAAGCTCGAATTGTCGATCGGTAAACTGCTTCCGCGTGAACTATTTGAGGGACCTTCTCCCAACAATGGTATCAGAGCCCGATCATAAAGGGTTCTGAGGTAACGAGATGGAGACCAATGGCATTGCCCATGATGGAAATATGTTTAAGCTGACTATTGACAACTTCACTTACTAGAGACCGATGATAGAAGATCATTTGTTTTGTAAAGACTTGTATGAGCCTATCCTCAGTGTCGAGCGGGCTGAAGGAAAGAACGAAAAAGAATGAGAGATCCTGAACAGAAAGGTCGTTGCCATGATCAGGAAATATATTGACAAAAGCCTCTCTTAGCATGTTTCTGAGTTTACCAATGCGCATGAGTTATGGATAAAGCTGGAGTTCATGATACAGAAGAAGACTACTAGGAACAAAGCGCATTTAGTTCGCCGACTTGTAAAGCTTAAATACAAGGACGATATAAGCATGATTGAGCAACTCAACACTTACAAAGGTGTTGTGAATCAAGTATCAAAGGTTGAAATGAAAATTTATGACGAGCTCAGGCTCTCCTACTCCTTAGTTCATTGCCAAAAAGTTAGGATACACTGACAGTGACTTTGAGCAACTTGGCTCCTAAGGGAAATCTAACAATGGACACTGTGACACAGACAGTCTCCTGAATGAAGAATCTAGGAGAGGAGAACGCAACATATCCAACATGTCTGATGCAAACGTAGCTGAGAGCACAGAAAGGTCTGATCGCCGAGGTAGAAGTAAGAGTCGGGGTCACGACAAGTCCAGATGCTGATCTAGGCCGAAATATGAATTGACTAAATTCTATTGTGGGAAATCCTACTACAAGAAGCCTAACTGCTGAACTTTGAAGAAAGACCACAAGAGCAGCAACGTCAAGCCAGATCAGTTAGAACCCAAGAAGAAATAGGACAAGAGCACCACTCTTGTGGCTGCAAACTCTGATGTTGAGATCTTCCTCCTAGATGAAGACAAATTTTTGAATGTTGACTGGACAGAAAGGGCAAATGGTGGAGAATTGTTAGCATTGCCTTGCTGGAAAGAAGCATAGAGTATCCTTTGTCCGACCGGATCAGCTCAGACGACGTAAGTATATTCAAAACCTCGTCCACACCGATGTCTACTCCATGGGGGAGAGATCGCTCGGTGGAGCTCAAAACTTTGTTTTTTTTTACTAATGACCATTCCCTCAAAGTGTGGGTGCATCTGTTGAAATCTAAAAATCAGGTTTTCCAAGCCTTTAAGCAATTTTATGCTTATCATAGAAAAGGAGACCAGCAAGAAGTTGAAAGTTGTCTGATCGGATAACGGGGGAGAATACTATGGCCATTTGATGTCTATTACAGGGCGACCGGAATAAGGCTCAAGAAGACGCCCCCAAGACTCCTAAGTTGAACAAAGTTACTGAGAAACAAATCAATATGTGAAAGTTTGGATTTGAAAAAAAAAAAAAAAGAGTTTTTTCCTCTGTACAAGAGTGATTCTTGTGTGAGGCAAAAAAAATTCCTTAAGGTCTACTGATAATATTATTGTAATTCTATAAAAATTTCTCTAGCAAATTTGCAGGATTGTCTCTACGCAAGAACATAGCCCAAATTTTGAGTGAACCTCGATAACAAACTGTTCTCGTGTCTTTCTCTTTTTTCCTCTGATCAAACTATTTTATTTTCTGCCAATAGTTTGCTTGATCTAGTTGTTTGAACCGGTGATCGATATTCAACATATGACTGTCACGCAAAGATGAAATGTTACCTTGGTTTTGATACTGTGGACGATGCAAAGTTGCGAGACTGTCCCAATCATGCACCCGCTTCACACTATTGTCCTTAGAAGCTCCAACTTTGGGCACAGAATCTGGAGCGAAAGGGCCAAACTGATAGCTCCTTGAAGTCTGTTTTGCATCTTGTTGTGAATCGCTTTTCTTTGGCTGAGCCAGGCAACTATGATTTTGCTGTTTATTTTTCACCTTGGAGTGTTGGTAAATGTCCCCGTTCATGAACAAATCAACTTCATTCCGCTTAAAACTTATGTTTGTGATGTCATTTCCAAACATCCTTCTCCTTGACTCGTTGATATTTGAATTGTGAGCAGACTCAACTGACTCGCTCAATGTTTTCGCTTTCAAGCCCAGCCACCGGAATGCTGGTTTTCTTGTGTCTCTTGTATGGGTCTGCATCAATTGTAGAGTCATCGTAAGCTTACTGTAATTCCTAAGAATATAGATAGTTGTAGGGAAAATTTTACATAGTAAACAAAAAACAATGTGTCAATCCTATTGTAAAGGAAAATTTAAAGAGAAGCGAGGCGGAAATCACCTTCTCAATAAGGTTCATGGAGGATAGCACATTTGCAATATCATATAGGCGTCTGACTTTTGCTGAAAGACCAAAAGGTCAAGAGTTATTACAAGTGAAAAAGTTCCTCGCTTCTTCCTGTGTCATTGGATAACAAACAAATGCAAATTGCAGTATTACTCACTTCTCATTATTGATGTATTATGGGCATTTCCAAGCAACAACTTTGCAGCTTCGTCAAGGGAGATCATTTCAATCTGGTGTGATTGTTGGAAATTATCAACATACTAACAAGTAAATAGCTAACAAAAATATACATTAATTTGGAATGTCCAAGAAACAGATGGTAAATTTGCAACGCTCACATTAGAGCAGACAAAGAGCTTAATAAAATTCTGAGTAAGCAGCGCCAGAGATTTTTCCCTTCTGTTTTCTGCAAAACATAAATGAAGCAGTGTCAATCCTTGAAATGCCATAATGCCCCAATTCAGGGATGTGCACGGTTAGGTTCTTAAACCGAAATATGACGCTGTTTGGTTTGGTTCATGGTTCAACTTGATTCATTTGATTTTTTCACTCTCGTGGGAATGAAAATGGTTCGGTTCAATTTGGTTTTTAGCATGAACCAAACCGAATCAGTAAAATGATATAATTCTTGAATTGGTTTGAAAAAATATAATTATTTTAATGCGGATAGGATGGATTTAGGATTCGGTTGATTCATTTACGTTTCACATTTCAAAGAATAAATATCTATCGCTGCCCTCAAACCACATTACCTTTGAAGTCCTTACTAATATCTAAATAACTAAGGGTATATATGTAACATCCTGGCGCTCATGAGGGCGCGGAGTGATCGCGAGTGCGAAAGGGCATGGACAAGGAACGACTCCTGGCAAGTTTCCAGTGACGGGATGCATTAATGAATCGAATCAACACCCGAAAAAGAGGAATTCCAGAGACTGTGCTGGTATGGGACGATACAGTTTAGAATAGCTTATAAGAATTAATTGATACTACCTATACTAACAAGATGCATCTACTTTTCGGTAGTCCATAACGGAAGAACTCCATAGTTAAGCGTGCTTGACTTGGAGCAATTATGGAATGGGTGACCTCATGAGAAGTTTTCCCAGAAAGTGTGCGAGTGAGGACAAAGCACGCTGAAAAAACACGCTGAAAAGTCTTGTGTTAGTGTGTGAGAACAGTCGTTGATCCTTGCAAGTTGTCGGACGTTACAATATAAATGGCACAGTAGGCATCAACAAATAAAGCATTGCAATTCTAAACTAATGGATTCTCCTATTCAATCCTTAATTCAGTGAAATACATAGAAATTTGAATGATTTCCGAAGTAAAAGGACAGTAATTTTAAAATACCATTCTTCAAAGATTTTACAAGAGTGGATGAATTAGGATTTGACTTGTCACTCTGATTTTCCATACTCGGATTTAATGTTATTTCTTCATCCTCCTCGTCTTCAGAACCCTAAGATAAATCGTTAACAACATATTATTTACCATTCTAAACAAATGCAATTAAAAAAAAATGTTTCATTGCAAGAGAAAATTGAGACAATCCTACTAACTTTTGCATTATCGTTGCCACCGTCAAAGGAATTTGGAATCTCCTGCAGACCCTCATCCTATAAACGAAACAGAAATCTAAAACTATTAGCAGACTTGGACAAGTGTATTCATTTAACATAATATTTAAAATAAGAGAGCAATTAGGAGTACGAGTTAGAAATCAGGATGACCTTGAGTTCTTGTAAAGCCTCCGGAATTGCTGCAAAGCCTTTCCAAGTATATTGATTCTTAGCTTTTCTTGCAACCACCTACAAGGCACATACTTGGTGAGATAAGAAGATAAAAAATAACTGAGGTTGAAGAGTGAGTTAGATAAATGAAAAACTCACTCCGACACTTTCCAATATGTTAACGATATCGTAGATCCGGCGCCTTTCAACCCCTGAAAAGAACAATTGTTATCTTGGGATTGTTCTTATCTTTGGATGAATGAAGTGCTACGTCATCAAGGGAACAGAGGAATACCTAACTTTGAAGCGGCCTCATCGAGGCTGATTAAGTGGACGCCATCTTTATTGTACAAGCTCAAGAAACTGCAGGATCCAAATTAGTTCGTTAATTCAAATTAAAGAGAAGAATGTGAGAGAGAGAAAGAAAAAAGGGAGAGGAAATACTTGGTGCATAAGAGACCCAGAGATTTGTCTTTACGGCTATAGGTGTGGTGCTTGGGAGAGGCGGTAGAACAAGACATTAGATAGATAGATAGGTTATTCGAATCTGTACATGAAATGAAATCGATCCAATGAAAGAATAATTTAGGATAGATTCGTTTGTTTTCGTTTTGTTTTTTTTTTCATTTCTTTTCTTTTCAAGATATAATGAGCGGGAACTTGATTACAGGACGCGCCCTATCCGGACTATTTTACGAAATTACGCGTTTGACCCTCGTCCCCGGCTCCTGCCCTTTATCGTTGTTCATTAACCTTAAAAACAAATCATGATTCACCAAAATCACCGCCAAATCTAAAAACTACGTTATTATGTGTTAGGGGTGTACATCAACCGATTCAAACCAATTCAAAACGCGGTGACCGAATCGAAAAATCGATAACTGAATAAATCAAAAACCGAAAAACGAATAAAAATCGCAAATTTTAATTGGATTGGATCGGTTTTCGGATTGGTATATGAAAACCAATCCAATATATTAATTTTCATCTACCTACTTGAGTCTTTTTTCAATCATAGTCCAAAAATTTCTAAACTTAATACTCATTAACCCATCAACTAAACTCAAGAAAAAACCTAGTCACATCTAATTAACAAAATTTCATCTATATAAAGCTTCATATCTTATAATCCAAAAAAAAAAACTATATTATCTGATGCTTTTGTATTTAAAAAAAAATATTACAAAGCCAATATACACAAAAAATCTTATTGGCGCAATAATCATGAAATAAATTTTAAGATTTTCAAAAAATCGAAAACCGATCCAATCCAAACCGAAAACAATTGGATGGGATCGGATCGGATTTGAAAAAAAATCAAAACCGAATGGAAGATTACATGATCAAACCGAAGAAATTGGATAGGATGATGTTTATTTCCAAAACCGATTCAATCAAGACCACGAACACCGCTGTTATGGGTCATCAATTCGGTTTGGTTGGGTAAAAAAATTTAATAATACCGTATTTTTTCTTTTTTCGTGATTCAGTTTAGAAAGTGATATTCATCCTAAACATTTTTCCATTAAAAGCCATACCAACCCACGTTGTTCATTATATAACAAAATGCAAGCTCATTCGTTTCATTAATCTTTTAGAGCAGAAGAGAAACTAAGATTATCAAAAATTTGATAGAGGAGATATTTTTTTATTAAAAAAAAAAAAGATTTTCGAGAATATGGTGGAAATATTTTTTTTCAAATAAGTTACGAAAAAGTGTTTGGAAGATCCAAAATTATACTAATACTATGGGATAATAAAAAATACCATGTATCAGATGGTATTTTCATTTGGATTTCTATAGTTAAAACTAAAATGATGGAAAAAAAAAGTTTCCCGCGAATATTTTTAGTTTTCTCATATCAAACGTTAAAAAAAAAATGTCCGACTCCACTTTCCCAGGCTTTGTTTGGGAGTTGATTTTAGGAGGAGAAGGAAAGGAAATAGAGGGTTTTAGAAAGTTCTTCCCTTGTTTGTAAATTTAAAAAAATGAAGGGAGAGAATTGGGGATTTTTACTAAATCCTCCAAAACCCTCATTCTTCTTAAAATTAAAGTTCCCCCAATTTGGGGGATTTGAAGGAAAAAATATTGAAAATTATTTATCTACCCTTAACATTAAAATGTGAAAATTACATAAATGTGAATCATTTTTAAATACGACATTACATAAAAGTCTCAAATCCCGATAGAATTTATCGACGAAAAATATTTCGTCAAATATAGTGATGAAATTTTTGATGAAAATCATATACTTCAAAAAAAAATTGTCAAAACTAAAGACGAAATTAGATACGGCACCAAATTTTGCCATAATCAGTGACATAAATTTTTTACGAAAACAAATTCAGTCAAAATTATTGATAGAATCTAAATTTCGTAAAAAATTTCCACGAAAATATTTTCGTCCAAAATTTTGAAGAAACACATTTTCATCGAAAAGTTTCGACGTAAAACAATTACGTCAAAAAAAATTTACGAAAAATATTTCCATCAAAAATTTTCAACAAAACAAATTTTCTTCAAAATTTGTGACTAAAAATATTTCTGTAAAAAAATTTAGGCGACAATTTTTTTTGTCAAAATTCTTTATGGCATCTAAATTTTGTAAAAATATTTCACAAAAAAACATATTAATCAAAAATTTTGACAAAAAATATTTCCATCAAAATTTTCAACTAAACACATTTCCATCGAAAAAAATTTACGAAAAAAAAAATTCTTCAAAATTCTTTACAGAATTTAAATTTTGTCAAAAGTTTTCGACAGAAACATTTTCGTTAAACTTTTTTGACAAAAAAAATTTCTATCAAAAATTTTCGACGGAAAATATTTCCGTCAAGTTTTTTGATAAAACACATTTCTGTCAAAAAAAATGATGGAAAAAATATTTTGTCAAAATTCTTTACAGAATCTAAATTTCATCGAATGTTTCGAATGAAACATTTCTCTCAAAGTTTTTGACAAAACAATTTCTGTCGAAATTTTTGTAAGAACACATTTCCATCGAAATTTTGAACAAAAAACATTCCGTCAAATTTTTTGACGGAATTCTTTTTTCATTTAAAACATTTGATGGAGGAAATCATTTTCATCAAAACTTTTGACGAAAACTAAATTTCGTCAAAAAATTAATTTTGTGAAATTTTTTATCGGAGAAAAAAATTCGTAAAAGTATTTTGACGAAAAAATAATTTTGTGACCAAATTTTCATCGTTTGCAACGTAGGAATTTCGTCGAAAATATGATCTTTTTTAGTATTGTGAAAAGTACATAAATAATTTGGTTATAAATTTTAAATTTAATTTAATTTGTAAAATATAATAATAAAATAAAATGGTAAAAATATCTCATTAACCCTATATTTTTCTCTCTTACCATTTTTTTAACTCCCAAAAAAAGAAAGGGAATACCCATCAATTTCTTTCTCTTCCTTCCCTTCTCTTCCCCTTTTATCCCATTCCTTCCCCTCCTAACTCTCAAACAAAGCCTTAAGGGTCTATTTGATTTCTGTGATGTAGAATAGTTTTTTAATTTGAAAATCAAAAACAAAAAAGTTGTTTGGTGATGAGTATTTTATAAAGATTATTCTAAAAACAACATTTGTTCTTTAGTTTGTGTCATTATAAATGAAATTACTATATTTTTATGGTTTTTTACCTCCTATCTCTTTATAATACTCTTCTTTTCTCTCTCCTCTTAATTTTGTGGAAGAGAGGAAATATAAAAAATTATTAAATATGCACTAAAATAACATAATCTTGTGTCATTTAAAATGATAAATATTTTTTTCTTTTTTTTAATAACGAAAATAAAAGTTGAAAGCTAAAAGCTTTTTGAGAAATACCTTTTTTTAAATATATACATCAATTTTTATATTTATTTTACAATTTTTTAAAATGTCTAGTGATCATTCTCGCATTTGCTGCCACATAATCTCCTCCTTCACAATCTGGCCTCCTCCACATCACAACACGAAAAAGCCTCCTTCACGATCTAGTCTCCTCTACATCATAAATGAACATGCCTCCTTGCTGAAGATGTACGAACATGCCCCCTTGAGAGTAGTCTCGAAGAAACTACTATCCTTGACAGATCTGAGAATTAAAATAGTCACAAACAAACATGCCTCCTTGAAACTATAGGGTTTGTGGCACTTTGGAGTTTGTGGCATTATAGGGTTTCAATTCTCATATGTGTCAACAATAACACTGGAGGTTGATCACTCAAGTGAGACTATTTATACGTGCACCAAGAAACCATAGCATTAAGCTTTTTAGTATCTTCTCATACACTAAGCCTAATTGGGCTTTACTAAAAAATCATAAATCCAACAATCTCCCACTTGTTATTGAGTACAAACTTGAGCTCAAAGCTCAAAACCATGTAACTCACTAGTCATCGTCAACTAAAATCATCACATTCCTTATCTTAAGCTAGCTTGGGGATCTACCATCTATTATTAATCAAGGTTTCTGTTAATCAATAAATGATTATTTAATTCAGTGTTGTTTCACTAAAAGCTTGAACTTGAACTTCAAGATTAATAATACTTATAGCACGAATATTAATCTTCCATTTTTAGAATGATGATAATTGATTGATGAGCTTTATGTTACTCAATCAATTATTTATTATCTTGCCTGTGATAATTTTTTTAATGGATCACATGCACTAGTCAATATCTTAAATATCCAAGTACCGAAACATATAAAGGAAACATTTCCTACAAACTTCGTGTTGTTTATCTCATAAATACTGATAATCAAATAATCTCACTCCCCAAATACTGAGTTATTGACCGTCAATAGATAGAACCTCACCTGTTGATAAATCAAATAATGAAAACTATATAATTACTTATTTATAATAACCCAGGATTACGAGCAATCACATAACTATAGTTAACTGGATATTTGATACTTTATGATAGAAAAACAACCTTAATAAAATCTCTTATTGATCATCTTCTAATTAGTTTGCATAAAATAACTATATTCAAATAGTTTCAACTCTTAGAATAATTAAATGTTTCATAATAAATATATTGTTTCATATCAAAGTTTTTTGTCATGTAATTTATATAAATATATTTTTATGAAAAAATTATATTCTATTTATGGTTTAAATATTTGCATTTTTTGAATACAATTTTTATTGTCATTTGATGTATATTTTATGCGTGTAATTTAAGTATTAAAATATTTTTATATAATTATATTATCGTGTAATGTAAAAATATTTACTTATACAATACAAACATTAATATGCTTGAATGTAATGTTTCTTGTAAGAACCTGTGTAACACCCCGTATATATCCGGTAATGTTATCATACTACCGTATTAAGCTGCGCTTAATTAAAAATACGAAATATCTTTTTCTTTTCAATTATGAAGTCATTATCATTACCAACTTGCTTATTAATCAATTAATAAAACATCGCCTGTATGCAATTGCAATAAAACAGCTAACTGAAATACCTCATTAATAAAAATAACATAAGTATGTCTCTAGTCACGGA